TGTGTGTGTGTGTGTGTGTGTACACACATATATTCTCCATTCGTTCCCCGGTAGATGCACAAAATTCGATCTGCCTCCCTCATCCGTATCGATAATCGATACTTGAATTAAAACACACCAAGCTTCGGGCATATTTGCTCAAAAAAATGAAAGCACGTGCTGTAGGGCTAAATTTTAATTTGAATCAAAAACGCACACGTTCTGTCCTGTTTTCTCGCACGCACATACTTTCGATGTAAAAGTCAATTTTTCTCTAACAAAAATTGGGATGGACATTTTTTTCTAACGGTCGTTTAATTTTCAATTTTGTACATACTCGAAATCAACATCCAAATAAAAATCCCGTTGCGATAAAGTGAAATTAAATAACTTCAAATTGAAGGCAAAGTATCACATTGTATTTTTTCATTAAAGCTAATGCCATGGAATTCCTTTTTTTTAACCACTAATTGCCTAAAAGCATTCATTTGAAATTCGAGAAAGTTCAACATATATATTCTTAAAATTTAACACGTTATATATATTTAATCATTAAAATTAATACATACACGTCGTTCTTAACACATTGTTGATAGATTGTTATCAATGCGAATTTGATTCATTTAATAAAATCCTTTTAAACAATTTGTTTAATTCCCTTAATAACAATTTATATATAATGACATATATGTTTATGTGTATGTATGTGTATATGTAAAATATATATACGCATTCATGAATAATTTGATTATATATAATCAAACTGAAATGGAGAAAAGAGAAATAATAGTAATCTATAGCCCCACAAAATTATACATATCTCGCGAATGTGACCACGGACGTGTGGCACGCGCACTTTAATGCGTTTATTGGTATAACATGCTAAACGTACTACGTATATATTTTCACGAATCTAACCGAGTTATCCCCCGGTACGTGACTATCGGCCGGGGTGGATTTCCGAGTGTTGTCACGATTGATTGATATGTTTCTTTCGCGGGGCACGTGCGCCGATTCCCACATCGAAAAGTGCACGCAAACTCCCGCGTGGGATATTTATATAACACGCGATAATCCGTGAAACGTGCAATATGTACTAATAATACGTAGACCGGCGAGGATACGGCGACACCGTCGTCCCAGAGCGGGGCGGGAAAGAATTCATCGAAGTATCTTCATGGCTCCTAAGGTCCAGTTTCATAAGTGTCGGTTAACTTTTAACCTTAGATTAACTCACTCTTCATCTCTTTCTAAGGGGGATGTTAGAAGGAGACGGAGAGTGAGTTAATCTAAGGTTAAAAGTTAACCGACACTTGTGAAACTGGGCCTAAACCATCCATTTCAGTTCGCGCGTACAAATGCACGAGATATAAATTCTACAGGTGCATACGCGCGTCGCATATGGTGCATTACCCTTCAGAAGTTGTTCCGTTACCGACGTTTTTAGAATTTCGTGCTCCGGGATACGTGCCGCAGTTCTTGCGAATTGTCGTGTATGATTTGTATGCCAGACGTGTAGGACGTGTGCGCTCAGATCGGAGCGGAGGTATGTTTTGAAATGGAATAGAGGGGAAAAAAAGAAGGATATATATAAGGGGAGTACGAGAGACGAACGTTAAATATTTTCAAGACCTACTTCCGCTCGTCAAAACAATGAAAAAGTTTGTTTATCCTCCCCAAATTATACGTGCGTCTGCGTTCAGAAAAAGCTAGTACATACATCATACCGGCGGTTTATTTATCATGTTCAAAATTGTACTCCAATTTGAACAGAAGCAGTACATACTTCAAAAATAAGTAATAATAATAAAGGAAGAGTGGTAAAAAATCTGAGTTAACCTAACTTTATGAAAAAATTGGCAATCTGCAAAATCGCGGCGAACGTTTGGTTGATTACCGGCTTCGCTGCCGATGCTGTAGCGACGAGAGATCAGGTTGAAGGATTCAAACGACAAATTGGCAAACTGGATAAGCGCGCGCGTACAAGAGATAAAAAATTTTTTTTCAAACTCCATTTTACCCATCGAAATGACGAAAAAGTTTGTTTATCTCTTCCGAATTATAGGTAAGCTTCGGCAGGCTCGAAAATTTTATTTTAAAAAAGCCAACAGGCAACTACTCTCCCTTCACATTTTTTAGTAAAATTTCTCTCAGAGAAGTGTACTCTAAAAATATGTTTTGCATATGACTTTTGAATATTTTATACCATTAAAAATGTAAAATTAAACGCATAAAGTAATTACTTCTTAATAACGTTACATGATTTTAAATTAAAAAAGAAATTGAGTTTTTCTTTATCTCGAGAAGTTGTAATGTTATTTTATTTGATAAGGCAAATAAAGCTGCGATTAAGTAAAAAACGCAATCGCGTAAAAGCAAATGGATATCGAACTAATCTCTTATCATTACAAATTCTTCTGTTTCAGGCAAAGAAGCCTCGGATACTACCGACGATATAGTCCGAATCCCTTAAATCTTATCGCAGCTCGTCAAGAACAATCACCAATAAAATATACTGTAAGAATGGCCAATCCGAATAATCGATTTAGTCGATAAAAAAATAAAGTGAGAAAAGAATATGAAAATATAAAAAAGAATAAAAGGAATTGACAAACATCTTTATCATTATTACACGACGACTAAATAAACAATACGTAATAAATCAACAGATTGATTTTTTAGAACGAAATATTTAAATACTTGATTGTTGTACATTTTTTATACCGAAAATAATCTCGCGGAAAGAACTTTTATTTTATTTCTGTTCATGTTAAGTCAGCAACTTATATATACTGCTCCGAAACAACAAATAAATAATTTAAGAATAAGGAAATATGAATAGAAAGAAGTTTAGCGACAATTTATTTTTTATATTCCGTGCTGTTCGTGAGAAATAAAGGATTGCCCTCAACCAGTCGGAGAAACGCGATCGAAAATCGATTATTCCTGGCCGTTTGCAGTGCATCGACGGGGCGCGTTGGCGTGGCGGAAAAAAAAACAACGACGGCGATAACGCGGTAGACGTCGCGTCGCACGCGCGACACCCGGCGGTACATCGCGGGGGCGACGCATTAATCGCTCAGAAAGAAAGAAAATCATGCGTCTCCTGGCCGGCGCCGATACCGTTCCCGCACGCAGCATCACCGAGGATGTATCGCTGGACAGCGATGTTGGCTCGCGCGGATCCGAGAAGTGCGGCGGCAGCAGCAGCAGCAGCAGCAACGGCAGCAACAACGGGTGTAACAGCGGAATCCGCGACGGCGTCGGCTACGCGAGCGGTTACGACCGCGGCCAACGGTACAGCAACGGCAGCAACAGTAGCAATCACGGCTACGCGAGCGACGATTTCTGGGAATGTACGTCTTCTATCCGGCGGACGAGCTCCTGCGTATCTATGAAAATCCGATTCGGCGGTCCCTGCCATTGACTGTCAACGACGACGCAGCGGTAAACGTCGTTTACGAGGATATAAATCAGCAGCGTTATCAGCAGCAATCGCAGCAATCGCAGTCGCATCAGCAGCAGCGAATCGTCGTCACGAACGACGTCCGCAAGCGCAAGGAGAAAAAGCGAGAGACTAGTCAGACGGCGGCAAGCCGGAGGCAGCAGCAGATCGTGCGTAACGGCAACGGCGGCGACGCCGGTAAGAAGGAAGGACGACGAAACGAGGAGCAGCAGGCCAGGACTATGCAAAATAATCGTGCCACCGGCTCCGAAGAAGCCGCCAACCATCCCCTCAAGGACCTCACACAGCCGAGTCTCAACGAGCCGCTCAAGCAGCACAATGGCGTCGCGCTCAAGCTCGTCCAGACGGGTAAGTGCATATGCGTTTCCGTGATTCCGCACGTGGTCGAGCGAAATCACGTTTAGCGAAACTAAATTCATCTAGCTCGATATGTGTTGTCATTTTTAAAGCGGAACTTAGAAACTCATCGATTGAAATACTAATCGAGATCTTGATCGAAACTTTTCTCAACAAGCTTTCTGTTCGTTCAAAATATCATTTCACATTTTTATATTTAATAATAAATCATATATGCGTTATCGAACGAGACGTGCATGGAGACTAGTGGAGTAAAGTAAAGGAAGGAACTGCGTATTTTATCGAGCTTCCAGCTTAGCGGAAAAGAAATATGTCTTATACAAACTTAATTTTCCGAGAACGACGCGACGCACGCACAAAGAATTGCGCTTCTTTCACATTTTCCCCGAGCGTATCTTTCCGCATTCTTTATTCCCTTTCCAGGAGACTAATATTCGCATAGCTAAGTTATCGTTGCGCATAATGGGTAGGAAATTTGTGAACTGAAAAATCGGTTGGCCAACGATGGCAACGATTCGGATTATCCATGTATTTAATATACGAAACCATATAGTCGTAAATCGTATAACTTCTTGTTGGCAGCTTCAAACTTCTACGTGAGTTAGCTGTTATAGAGTATTACGTGTCTCGACTTGGCAGAAGTTTAATAGCCGTCGAGCGAAGATGGTTTAGGTTAAATCGGTAAACTATATACGCGGAGAGATGATATAATGGTCTTTCTCATTACACAGAAATAATATACATATATGATTTCGATTGTTAAACAATATTAACTTACTTGTGCTGAGAATTGTATTGAAAGTCAGCACAGATATTTCTTACCCATCATTAAATATACTACAAATTGTTAAGTAACTTTTAAAGTCAATAATGATCAGTATAGTGACTCAAAGTTTGATAAACTAGAAATCGATTTCACCTTTAACGAGAATGTCGAGAGAAATGATTTGTCATAACTTTTAATAACCAAATTAGAATCCTATTAATTTATAAGTCCCTCTCGAAGAAATTGAACAAAGAGTATAAAGTTTCGTTATCAATTTGTATTCTGTATAGTTGGCGAAAAGCAATTTACTCTCAATCACTCACAACATAAAAGCTATTAAATCCTCGACATTTTATTATGAGAATTCTTGTCTCTAGTTTAGTTAAGGAATCCGTCATTAGCGAGAGCAATGAAGTGCTCTATATAAAATGTTGAGAAAATAAAGTTTGTATGTGGGGACACCTTTTACTTAATGTACCGCTATATAGGAAACCCAAGATACACCCAAGTTGGGTCTGACGCGGGATTAATTAAAGTTACTTGTTCTCGTTACCTGCATCTTTCTGCGAATATGTCACCTAAACAATTCGTCATAGCTGACCTTTTTTATCCCCTCCTTCCAATCGGTGTGGTTCCACGGCTATGAAGGGATCAAGATTAATTAGCAGTTGGAAGTAGCGGAGGCTAAGTAGGGTTGGCGAGCCTATTACTCCACTGAACTCGTGGCTATCGGTCTTTGTCACTTGCTGTCCCACCTGACCTATCGACCCCGATCTCCCGAACTGACACTTCGTCATGGAAACTTATGGAACCCTCCCTCTTGTTCGGGCATAAAACCGCGATAAAATCAGATTGGGGCAAGTATCGCTGAACCGTGTGGAAATACGGTCGAAATCCGGCGAATCGCGCCGAGGGACTTATTCCTCTGATTTATGTACCAGTGATCGCGCGTAAGTCGCGAGCAAAAATACAGAATGTTATACTTTATCGAATGGTATAGAGACTGTGTCGACCTATATAATACTCAATAAATATGTATCCTGTGATAAAAGACTTGCAAGGTTCCAAGTACCAAGACACGAACTGAAGACGAAAGTCAAAGGAATAAAAAATTCCAAGTAAAAGTGCATCTGCAAATCATTTATGTGTTTGCATTTGAAAAAAGAAAATAAAAGATGAACAAGTATACACACGCACACCATCTTGGTCATTTCTCCAATTCACGGTATTCATGATGTTTTGATAATGATATTATGATAATAAAGATGCCTCGTAAGAATGAATGGCAGGCTTCTGGTGCGCTAATGGCTATGTAAAGTATATTATTCTGTTGATCTGGACGCGAGATGCGGCCGTCTCGTTTCCAAACACATGTACGGTAGAGTGAGTCATTTGGTATTATCCCGTCGCGTCGTTCGACCGTACAAATTCGAATATCTCCGATGAACATTGCGCGTTCTCGAGGAAATTCCGCGAGCTCCGTTTCGCAGAAGCGCAACTCCGCACACAAGAGCTCGTTACCGCGGTATAAATAGATCTTCGCCTCGTAGCGAATTTTAGAGTACGTGTATGTGTAGCGACCTCTCTCTTTTTCTATCTCTCTCTCTCTCTCTCTCGCTCTCTTTCATCAAACGATCTCTCGAGGCTATCACGTGTGCTGACCTGGATGTTTATTCGGTTCATCGGCGCGGCCAAATATCGTTGCCGCCTGGTCTGGCAATCCGCGGACGGAAGCACGACGGCTTCGATGAAATGACATTAATCGCCGCGTAAACAAAGACCGGTGCCATCGCGCTAATATAGCGACCGCTGTCGAATTCTGTTTTTAGCCGGCCGTTTAAAAATTAAAGGCTCTGCATCTCTACCCGAAATAGTGACCTATCTCCGGGGGCGACAGCAATTAAAAATAAGATCAATAAGGATAATTGTATTAGTGAGACTAGTAAAAGCGGACCACGCGATATTTATCAAATAATATAATCGCTAATTATCCATTTTTACATAAAAAAAGGAATCTCTAATGTCCATGACATTTCTAACAATGTAGATTTAACTTTAATCTCGGTTTAGTTGATTTTTTATTTTTTTTCTAGTTTTGAAAATTAGAAAAAGATAAAAAGTAAGTTAAACCGAGATTACAGTTAATCTGCATTGGTAGAAATGTATATTAATCATCTTCGTATGCTGAACAAGATGCGTGACAAAAATTTGAATAAATTTCAAGACGTCTAGTAGATAGGTATAGATACTCAATAATTATCGTTTTTAACGATTCCGAAGTATGACAAAGTGACTCATTAATTAATTAATATTTTATTAATTGCCAGATTTGCATTGAATTTATTCTTTTATTTATGATAGTATTTAATTGCCTTTTGTCTTTTCAAATCATGTCATTAAGAATCTTAACATCTGTACAAATGAATATCTCGATCATTATAAGATACTAGCTTAAGCTACACGGCGTTGCCCGGGCTTCTTATATCTATATAGATATAATGATTTATAAAATCAACTAACCTTTGTTAATTATTACGCAATGCTTTACTTATATAATAATACTTATATAACAACTAAACTTAAATTGTCACAAAGTGTCAAGGAGATAAAATCAAGGAAAGGAAGTGGAATGTCCAGGTTTCACACATGTTAGCCTACATTTTCCGCTGGGGTTTAGAGAGTAACTATGCAAAATTTGGTCTAGATCTCTGGTCAAAGGGTTTAGGAGTTAATAGAAAACATACAGACAGACATTCTAGTATATATATAGAATCCAACGTCACAATCATCCTAATTGAGCCTAAACAAGAAGACATAAAGAAGATAACTATAATAATATGCACAAACAGGGAAAATCCAGTCTTTCACAGTCCCAAACAGATTTCTATTTTCGATCGTCAGTTCAGTGTTCATGCAAATTTTAAGAGGACTGACAGAGACGTGATAGAGCGTTGCTCTAGAGCAAGTTTATAGCTCGCGTGACACCGGGCGATCGGGTTCGTCGAACCCGCGAGACTCAGGGTATCAAGGTTGCACCCTTGGAGTCACGAAGGTTATTACTCTTTGGCCTGCACCATCGGACGAGTCGATCGCCGGCCGGTTAGTCATAATACGGTTTGACCGAGCGGAATCCCACATCCCGCGCTTTCAAAGATGAGATCCCGGTCATCTTTTCCCTAATTGTCGTGTAACCGCGTACGCGCGGACATAATGGTACATCCAGAAAACGACGTGGGTCATATTTTAATAAAGGAAGAAGTCTGGTTGCTATGGTAACTGCGAAACGAACAGAGCACGCGGCCGGCCAGCCAGCCAGCGAGCCAGGCAGGCAGGCAGGCAGGCAGGATATTGATTCACCCCACCTGAATTCAGGTCAACCCCTGCAGACTAAACGCCGTTTCGCTGTATAACGCGGGCTCCTCCATTTCTATCGCGCTCGTCCCATCTCGCCTTTTTCTTTTATAATCAACGCCCCTTTCCCATGGAAGCGCGTGCTAAGCGCGTAACGTTTTGTTATTGGATACGGTTTCATCCAGGTAACTGGGTATTTAAAAGCCTTTGCCCGCGTCCCTCGCCCGCTGCGCCACATCGCCCTCGCAGTGCGCGCTCTCGACCGAGAAAGTTTACGCTGAATCATTAAACAATATCGATCTGTCGCGCACATTCCTACCCACTGACAAATTAGCTCGAATTATTATAGTGATAGGCTTATTATTGTTGCATACTCTTTCTTTAGTTCTGACATCGACCAACAAACTTCATTTCTTTCAGGATTGTGTAGAGGGATGCAAAATTTCTTCTTATATATTGTTGAAACTTTACGTTTACACGCATACATATACTTACATACGTATATACACATATAGTAACTTTAGTAATGATTTTTCAAAAATTTGTTTTACAAAAGATTCGTATTCCTCTCTCTTTATGATGATAAAGATATATAATTGAAATAAAAAGATATTAGAGATATATAAAAAACTTGCTTCTTCATCGTTTATCATTTATAAATTTTTAAATATAATCGAAATATAATAAAATCGTTATGAATTCCATTACACATCGTCTTTTCTCTTTTGCATTTTATTCTCAATCATTCAATTTCGAGATCGTTATTTAATTATTTTCAATCAAGATCAATCTTTTTCAAGTCAAATCGAGTTTATATGAGTATCCATGGATATACATATATGTATATATCGGTCAAAACGCACAAGAAACAATT